CAAAGGTGAGTTGATTGATGGATCTATCAAGTGGGAGCATGCCTGACCTATATACCCCAGTGGGTGGCAAATGTGGCGCTGCCAATCTTCAACAGAAACAATCAGAAATATTGTTGGCGCAACCCACACGGCGGAAATTATTACAAGCTCTTAACTACCCACCTGAGACAGCTCGTCATTTATATGAACGAGGGCAGGAAGTTTGAGACCCCCAACGACGTTCCAGGTTTCTTACGGCAGCAGCTCTATGCTAAGGCTGAACATCGCGCCGAAGCAGCTCCAGACGCAAGGTCGTCTCCGCACACGATGTCTTCTACGCAAGCATATGTTCCAACCCCAGTCACGACACCAGGAGCCGCGCAATGCTCTCCGGGGCGTACTACATACTGACCGGTAGCCAGTCCTGCAAAGCTTCTAGAGCGCAAGACCGAAGAATGGATCTCTCAGTTTGCAAAGGCGGGTGACATTCTTCTCAAGCGAGGCAACAAGCTACAACTTTGCTATGGAAAGCATTCGTTGGAATACTCATTGCAAACGGCGTGCTTGAAGGGCATAGTCGAGTCATACCTCAGCGACATACCATTTTGGTTACCGGACTAATTTTAGAAATATCAAGAAATGCGGGAGTACGACGAAGAGACGCCAGGGTTCAATTAGTCATTCAAGATCGTCAATAGATATTTTGGAGTTTCTGAAATGTCCTCGGGCAATCTTGACGTCGCTTCCCACAATGCTGACCGGCCACCTCAAGAATTCTCCGAAATTGTCGAAGTAATCAGCTATGGTGAAGTGCGAAGGTTTTGCGCTGGGAGAACAATTCTTCGATAGGGGTTAAGTCTGGCGAATATGGTGATAGGAAGAGAAGCTTCACGCGGGCTCGATTGCAGAGTTCGAGAATGGACGGACTGTAATGGAAGGACGCATCATCCGTGACGAGAACCGAATTTGGCTCGGGCGATCGCCCACACAAAAGCAATAGCTCTCTAACGAAACCTTCGAAGACGTCGCCGTCTGTTGCACCTTGACGAGCTGGAACGACTTGTACTCCGACAGCTCATGCAAGCATGCATCACGCAGATCAGAATCCCCCTCGCGGGCCACTCGCTGCTTCTTCTTCTTCTTCTTGGACTTGGACCAATTGCACGCTCGTCAAGACCTTCTGATGCTGTCCACCGAAACACCAAGCGCGAACTCATCTATTACAAAATTGGCCCTCTCATCGAGTTACAAGTCGGGCTTTTTAAGCAGCCGTTCCAGCAGCGCACCGTGCACGTGCGGTAGAATGCATGAGCGGCGAGCCCCGAAATTCTTTGGTGCACATGGGGGTGCCAGAATGATGTACATTAGCGCGAACTCTAGTGACGGTACGTGTGCTGCAGTTGGCGATTCGAGTGATGTCTTTATCGGACAGGGACGCGAATCGTATCATGTCATGTAGCTGCATCCTGATGCGGCTCTATCGAGGGATCTGCGCCGTGTTGGCCGTCGTATCCCGAGATGTCGCTATCGTGAACATTGACGATGGATAGCTCAGCGCTCCCGTCTTCCGGCAGCGATGGTTCCAGGTCGTGAAAGGCGAACGCAGGCGCTTCACTCGAGCAAGTCGTAGAGTCGAAACCATCGACAGCCTTGCGAATCTGCGAGTGTCCCCATGATGAAGCTAAGAGTGTATCAATCGCTAATTTTAACGCAGATTCCGACCCAGGACCAGTGCGATCTAGGAAGTCAGGCCGCACCTACCTGTTGTCGAATGCTTATCTACTGTAAATGGCGTTCGTATTAGTGCGGCACCGATGCGAAGAGGAAAGCTTAGAGACATGGCATTTGCTGCTCGCCAAAAAGCTCTGACGGGCTTTGACCGATTCTGAAGGATGCGTCTTCACGACGGTGTTTAGCAACGCTAGCGATTAAATTTGTGGGCACTTGACCGCTGGCGCTCGTAGCACCTGAAAAGCCAGCCTAGGCTGTGTCACGGCCGCGGAGTTGAGTGACTTCATCGGTTGGGACTGGGCTCGATTCCGCGCGTGCTAGAGGTCAAGTGCCTGCGCCATGACCGTCGACACCATCGTCCTGCGATATGCAAGCGGTCGGTATCGAACTCGAAATCTCGACTTAGACACTGAGAACTTAGGTGTGAGATGGGGTGGTATGCCAGCGGGGATCAGAAACTTACTTCACGACGTGGCGATGGCGACCGATGCATTCGGATGTCTTCCCCATGGACACCATCTTGACCATGAGCTCGAGCCGAGTGTGTATCTGATCAGGAGGTGTCGTTCCTTGTAGCGGCGGTCGAGGCAAGCTCTTGCTCATCTTTGTGCCGCTCGTGGGACTCGACTATCGTCTGCGGCTCCTGAAGTCGGATTTTAAGTGCCGGGGCCAGAAGGAGCGCAGAAAGTTCGCAGCTTCCGGAGCGATAGGGCAAGCTTGTCTGCAATGTTCCACTGTCTGCAAACACTCACGACGGCGTGTCCGATGTGGATACATGGCCAACGTGGAAAAGTCTTCCAACAACCGTAGGCTGCAGAACGTTTGGGGAGCGAAGAATCCCACGAGCATGGAAAGTCCACGATTTTATCGTCCAGCGTCGTTGCGGAACAGGTTGACTCAAAACCTAAAATTTGGTCTCAAAAGGAGCAAAAGACGTCTTCCTGGCTTCTCTACCGTTGCGGTAAATGGTAGGCTTGGGGCCTTCAGAGATTTGTACTAGAAGGCTCAAACTTAAAAGTTCGACGATCGAGAATTGTGGAGCACATACGCACACCTTTGGTAACGAATAATGTTACTAAAGCATTGCGCAATAGTTACCCACCAGGTCTTGGAGAGCTGAGCGAATCCCAAGCCTACGGCTGTTAATGTGGACGGCTTTCCTCCATCCGCGACACAGCCTTACGGTAGCGCAGTCAAAGCTACAGTAGACGATCCCGGTAGCAGAAACCTGTTCTATCACACGCTACGTCTCAACGCTTGTTCTGTACGCGATCGAACTTGCCAACAGATCGGTTAGGCCCTCCACCGTCGGACAGCAAGGCTAGTCAACTCGGGCATGTCATTGGTGTGCAGAGTGTTGGGAGACAAGGGTTCGGCGCCGCGGTCATTGGCTCAGGGAATCCTCGTGCGTTCGCCGTGACCAACACGTGTGGTATCCCGGTGGTAAAACTTAACCCTGAAAGGCTGGTAGGCTTAATCCTTCGCCTACCTACTGGCGGATGTGCCCCGCTTCGGGGCCTCAGCCCAGCTGGTGCTGATCTATTCCCCTTCCACTACTACACACAGCGGTAGCATCAAAATAGTCAGTCACACAGGGTCGACATATGGTCTCACCACTTCTCCCTATCCCTGTTCATGTCTTCTTGTCACAAGGGATAATTGTACGGATAGAACACCGGGCTGCGCGGCAGGCAACTTTCACCACTTGGGATCCGAAGGAACGAACGAACGAAGAGGAACCGGCGGATGATGCTTGATTGCACTCAAGCTTCTGCTAGCGTCACACCGTCTCTAGCGCTTAGTGAGAGTGGGATCCCGGTGGCCTGACCTTGTCGCTTCGTCGTGTCCGATCCGAAGCAGTCACCCACGCTAACGAAATGATTTGTTGTGTGCGTGTGTGTGTATGGAGTAATTCGCTAACGGTGTATTTCTCACATCCGTAACCAACCTCGCCAATGACCCATCGCAGGGCACGATCCTGAACAGATTCATCATCTCGCGAATGTGGGGCGACCACATCTAAATTGTGCTGACCGATATCAATCGCTAGACACAATCGTGCGGTTCCTGAACGCTGCACAGGTCGTTATCTTTAGCCACTGCCGTACCCAATGTCGCGGTCCGGGTGATACCAGACGGGCCACCCGATTATGCTAAATCGTAGAACTTGGGCAGGCATGACGCCCCAAACGGCAGCTGATGCGCAGAGTCGCCAGTACATGCGGGCTCGCGGCAGTGGTGGCGACACACAAAGCTCGGACCAACAGGCCAAGAAACAAACTCAGAACCGCTTTGTGCACCATCGTAGGTGCACTTCACTCGCTGCGAGGCGACACTCCACTAACGCCTGACGGTTTGCAAGGTGAACGCCCCGAGGTACGAGGAGACGGTTTCCAGTCCGGAGATCACAAACATGAAGCTTCAGGCACGTTCCCGAACACGACTGCCACCACCGTGAGTGCAAGCAACTATGAGGCATAAAGGTCATTGATTCAACGAGTCTCACAGGCAGACTACCAGCCCTTCAGCATTGCGGGTGCGATCGCTCCGCAGACATGCTCCACGGACCACGACATGATTTCTCAATGGCAGCAGGCTATGGTCGGCGCAGGTGTCGACGGCTACGTCTACCCCCCCGGTACATTAGGGGAGGAACATGCAGGCCCATACATGAACCTGGAGAGCGGCCCCCTCGTGAGCAACAGCGGCGGTTGGGACGGCCGGAGTGACTTGGGCCACGACGCCGACAAGTATTTCGGTCTATTTACCGACAACGTTGCCCACAAACAACGCCTGGGAGGATACGTCGACCCGACTCCCAACGGGCCCATGCAAGGCTACCCCAACCAGGGAATGGGGCTCGACTACATTTCTGCATCGTCGTCGATGATTTTTGACGGTAAATCTTCTCCACATCGATGCGAGGTTGTAGCTAGGCTGACTTGTACGAGCACACGCAATGGCGAATGCGTACAAGACCACAACGAACGCATCGGGTGAGTACTACTTTGGCGGCGCCTTTGGTGGAGGGTTTCCCACGGATATGACTGCGTCGGACCGTGTGGCGCCTCCCGGAATGCGGCCGTCACTGAACGGAGCCACGCCCCCAGCGCCAGCATCTCGGCAGGCTGGATCTCAGCCGCCTCCCGCCGTCCAGTCTGCCTCGACCGGAGACGACTCGTCGCAGAGCAGACCCAGCCAGGTGGCATCACTGGAAAGTCGCATGGCATACATCCTCCAACAAGCCGCGCTGGTGGGCTTCAAGAACCTCGACGCGCTGGCGGCCGAGTACTACACGGCGAATTTCCGCAAGACGTCGGCGCTCTTCAGCGACCAGACTCTGAGCCGGATCCGACGCTTGCCCGAGCTCATCGCCACCATCCAGCGGGCCGCCAAAGAATGGACCGAGTGGGAGCAGAAAGGATATCAAGAGGAGATCGTCAAGGGTGCGGAGGAGTTGCTCCTGGCCGAGTGGATGGCGTTCAAGAATTGCCCGCGGTTCTCCGAGTGGATGGAGTTGGTAAGCAAGCCGAACAATTCCACGGAGGAGACAGTCAAGGTCAAACAGATCCTGCAAGACGAGGTAAGCACGCCCACTCCCCCGTGACGATGTTCTTCGGGAATGGTCACGTCGCCGCGTGATTCTCGGAAGTCGTGGATGCAGGACGCTGACCGTTGGTAGGCGCCCAACCTTTGGGGGCTGAACAGTAGTCTGCTAGGGACAGGAATCAACCCACATCGGAACAATCAGGTCAGAGCCACTCTGAACACGATTAAGCCGCTGGTTGGGATTGTCTAAAGGCTAGTAGAGTGGAGAGGGCGGCAGGGCTTTGACGGTGCTCGGGGGGGTTTAGCTTAGTTTCAAAAGACGAGCGCCTGCATGACGGGCTATGTTGGCGCTCCGGTCCGCACCTTATGTAGATCAGATTGAGCCCCGGTAAATGTCAAGCCCTGCCATCCTCTGCAGGCGTCGTAAGCGTCAGCTCGACAACCTTGACGGTGAACACATTTGGAGATGACGCCCATCGCTGGCCCCCACCCTTTTTCCGACCGAGCGACTGATGTGCTTAAACAGACACCGCACCCTGATGCCCATTTGGTGCGGGAAAGATTGATGAGGAGAAGGACATCCGGGATGCCCTTTGCGGGTTGATGCGTACGTGAGAGTCCTGCTCAATAATCAACTTCTCGCACGTACATAGCTATTCCGAGTCCGTGCCCAAAAGCGGCAAGACCGTCTGATTCAGCTCTCGCATAGAGCGACCACGGTTCGGTAAACCGCATTTGTGCGATCCGTCGCTGCAATGCTGGGATTCTTTGCCGTAAGCGACATGATCAAAGACCATAGCTTGGGCATCTTGAGAGACGAGTCAGATCCAACAAGCTCCAACGGCGCACGCTGGCGCCGGAGACGGCTGGAGAGGCTGACAACATACCTTTTCTTGGGCCTGTTGCATCATGTCCTCTGCGTGACGGTGAGTTGAGGACTCGTCGGCGCAGCTCATGCTCTCCCTGAACGCTTTCACTTCTTCCATCAACGTTTGCTCAGCGCCTCGCAGCAATTCGAGGTGGAGACCTCGCCGCTCCCAGTCACTCCAGCCTCTGGCGGCGCTGAAAAAAGACGGGAGGAGGTCAGACAAACGTCGCCTTCGACTCCGCGATGCCTGGTCGGTGCCGTGTTGGGGTTGACTGGAGGCGCCGGTGGTGTAATAGGCCTCGATCATATCATCGAAGGTGCTGAAGCCAGCTGCCTTGGCACGATCAACGAGGAAGCCAACGCGGTTCTCCATCGAGATCTCGGTCGGGCTTTGTCGGTCGGCAGAACCTCCGGGGCCATGCTCATCAAACGCAGGGTCATCGAAGTCCAAGTCCATGAGCACGGGCGGATTGACGTGACCACTACGGGTTTCGAATAAGCTTGGTAGAGGGGCAATACGAGCCGGGGCTGTGTCGTCAGACGCGGGTGTGGTGGTAGGGTGGAGCACGGGCGGCGTTGGTGGCGTCGCGCAGGTCCGGAGATGCTCAGGGGAAGTGTGGGCCACGTCTGCAAGGCGGCCAGCATGCGGGAGCGGCTGAATCTCGCTTGCGTCCGCGCGCCGATCTTCCACCGGCTGTTGGCCGTCGTCATCGCACAGCCGAGACAGGCATGGCGCACGACTGG